ATATTCTAATATACAAAAATTAAATAAGTTAAAACATCCTAGAGCGTGACATAGATTAGTTTGCTTTGCCAGTATGTTGCATCATTACCATCTCATTAGTGAGGGAAATATCAATCTATCTTTCTATCTATATGTACAATGGCGGATTTAGGGGGTATAGTCAGGAAGGTCCTGACCCCACCCCCTTCGGTTTCTGAAAAAAATCACACCAATAGTCCCCTCTTGAACTTATAAATTTGACTAGCTGAATCATAGTTCTCAACCATACCAAAAGGCACCATACGCCCCCCCCCCCCCCAAAAAAAAAAAGAAAAAAAAAACACCAAAAGGCCCTTTAGCAGGCTCCTGAATACCCTGCCATGGGTGCAAGGTTCGGCTTCCTATCCAAGGCCTGACATTCCTATTAATTGACCCCCCCTTCAAATGATCTATCTGATCTATCTATTTTATTATAATGTATATAATGATAAGTACCTTGGCGTCAGCACGACAGATCAGANATTCTCAACCAACCAAAAAGGCCCCAAACCCCCCCCCCCCCCCCCAAAAAAAAAAAAGAAAAAAAAAACACCAAAAGGCCCTTTAGCAGGCTCCTGAATACCCTGCCATGGGTGCAAGGTTCGGCTTCCTATCCAAGGCCTGACATTCCTATTAATTGACCCCCCCTTCAAATGATCTATCTGATCTATCTATTTTATTATAATGTATATAATGATAAGTACCTTGGCGTCAGCACGACAGATCAGACAGATAACCCTTCAAGTTTCAAGTTGTGTTTGCTTGCTTTATGACCAGCTACCAGTACTGGCGGGACCCGATATCAGGCACATTGACGCTCAGACCCGCTCCCCTGGTGGTTCAGCACATTTCTTGTTATTGATGCATGATTGGTGTATCTCCAGTGGTGTTATAGACTACCCAGAAGTACCGCTGTTGCCACGGCTTTGCAAATCTAAGTCTGCAGTTTATGTCATTCTTGATGCTTGTGACTACAGGAGTTTATTCAACGTTAAACGGTTTGAATGCCAGGGTTATTTGTATAACATCACAAAAAATAATAACAACAATAGGGGCCTAACTTTCTTAGCACGTTTGTAGACAGGGCAGATAGCAGGCGTTTTGCCAACTTTGCTTTTGTGCGCCGGGAGGGCTGTAGTGTAATGTGAAAAGCTCAAAGGTAAATTTAATCGTCAGGGTCATGCCGTCTTTCAATAAAGGAACAAAACGAAAAACATGTTCACACAAACACGTTCAGCAGTCTTATTACCAGTCTTATTTAAGTAGCTATACTCAGTAGGGGACCGTATCTTATTGACATAATCTAACCGGGCGCTTGTGCTTTACAGGCAGTTTTTTGTTTTTTGAAATCTCATGGCATTGATAGTAGTTCAAGGGGTGCACTAGAATAACATGAAAATAATGGAACTTGAACAAGAACGACGAGCTATGAATCCACCGTCGTCACATAGTTATGACAAATATTGAGACCTGAGAAAAAAATAAAGAGTATTTTTTTTATGTACAGACACAGATGTCTGTCGTCGCCGTCGCCGTCGACGTTTGCGTGCACTTTTACCGATAACGCGATAAGTGGAAAACCGTTTTTTCTTCTGGCTTGAAAGTTACAGAACTTATGAATATTCATAATATGTAGGTCAAGTTCGATGACCGGGCATTTTTAGGGAAGTTATGCTGTTTTTTCACTTTGTTCAGCATTTTTTAATTTTGTTACCAACTTGTCCTAGGATTGGGGCTGTCTTTTTTATTGAGGGAGGGGCTGGGACCCGAATGGTGGCGACATCCTGGTCTTTATACTGTACATGTAGTACCTCTTTACTGAATACGTTTTTTCATCCATTAATTTTTTTATAGTGTTATGTGTTACATTTCTGTGAAAACACCCAGCGCTTCGGCTTATAAGAAACGTACAAGAAGTTTTTTTTATTTTAACGTGAATGCGCAAGTACCAGTATCTTTTGTGTACCTTATGATATTAGATCCATATAAGTCTGCTCCACTACTGCAAAATTTATATTTTAAACAACAGTAACAGTATTTTATAGGCCTATCTATTAGCGTCCTGTTCATAACATGGATTGAATCATATCAATTTCTATCAATTAAACCACAGTGTTTAATGACATTAAATGTACAATGCCAGAGAATAACATCGGCCTATACTATATCTGACAGTATCTGTTGTTACTCCTATTTTCTAGGAGTTGTTTATTATCAAGGACACAGGTTAATGGGTCTTAATGCACACAAATAGTGTAAGCAATTTCCCTGGATATTCAATATTCATTATATAAAGGTGTGATTTCCATTGTGTGTCTTTATCGTGTGTCAGGTGAAATTTATTAAGTGCAGAAATGGACTTCTTGTGATAAATACATCATTTACAGGGACGTTTTGCTATTGAACGGTTTCCAGGTATACCTGTCCACTAATCGCTTTGTCAATAAATTTAGCATGAAATAAAAACTGACGGGATCTCTAACAGTTATTTCTTCCGTGCACATACCATACGGTGATATTCCACAAAATTGTCAGTAATGATGGCTTCGTCACAAAACACATAACTTGCTTTAGGGCAATCCTTTGAAATTTGAGACACTCGTCAAATCAACCATAAAGTGTTTCCTAAACAGTTTATGAATTTTGTTTGATCTGATAGCAATTCATTGTCATTTTTCAGACAAAATGCACTGGCGGATGGATGTATTTTGCCAAAGTAGGGGGCACAATAAAAAAAATTAGCCTGACTTCAATCAATATAAAACGAGATGATCAGAGTAGCTGCGATACCGCCACTTTGGATGTACATGTATCCCCAATTTTGGAGAAATAAGGTCTAGAAATTTTGCAAAGTGCATTTAATGGCAAAAAGTTAGTCAAAGGTGCGAATCCCCTTATATCTCCAAAAGTCCATTTCTGCACTTAATAAATTTAACCTGGAGCAAATGGATATTTATCATACATTGTGTATGAGTTTAGGTAAGGCTTCCTCTCCGAAGACATAAATAAATAATGAATAAATCCGATACACGACGCAAGCCATTTATTATGTCCGTGGTAGTCGTCTACACGTTGAATGAAGAAAAAACAATAGTGAGGAATAACGACGGTTTGGAGCATTCGAACGTTTATCCACCGACTACCTTTTTCATACAATTTCACAAGTATTTATACTCTATTCTCCGTATTGATCATGCGTTTACTTGTTTTCTTTCCATTGTCTTTGCGTGATTGCAATGATTTTCCATTCTAATGTTGCAAACCACCATTCGACATTCCCTTATTAGGCAATCTCTAAGAGACTTGTTTTCAATTTAAGATATTTAACTATTATTTGAATTACTCATGCTTGGACCATATTCATCCTTAGTTTGCATGTGTTTTACACGTGTCAGAAACTTGCAAAGGTATTGAGAAATTAATCAACAAATTGAACTTTGTATGACTTTGACATGTTCCATCTTTTCCTACCATGAAACAATTTCTGCACTTGTTGACCCTTAAAGATATAAGTGAAAGTGTTAATCATTTACTTTACAACAGTAAGTAACTCCGGATAAACTTGAAGAAAGGAAAAGGTTAACACTTTATTAAGATTAAAAAATATTTTCCCAAATTTTCTGAATTTCTAACCCCCCCCCGTCCCCACCCCACCCTCCATCCACAGTCTTCGCTATTCTATCACCAGTGCTATATTCAAGATAGCTAGACCTGTTTAAGTACACAACTGAATCTTTGTTCAGAAAAAGTTAACTCTGCAACAAAAATTACATATAGTTAAGGTTTAGTCATTTTTTAAGTTGGGTCAAGCTTGAGCATAATTAAAGAAGTAATTAAAAGTCCACTTCTTCAGAAAAAAGTCCCTTTGAAATATCTGAAATTTTATTTCTTCGGAACATTGTATGTAAAATATCCTCAGATTCTGCTTATCATCGAAATATGATCAACCTGAATGTTTATTTGTAATCATAATATCTTTGACTGGTTGTTAGTTTGAATCGTCTCGTTTTAAGATAACAAGATTCGAGCTACAAAGAGATCGTATTTCACTGATTCACGAGCGTTTATTTTGTGACACTTAGTATAGTTTGTGTTCCATCCCCACGTGATAAGAACCCAGTGTCGCTGCAATCTAAGATGTTCTGTAGAAACGATGTTGGTGTAACATGTTAATTACTATGATAGCCGTCGTCAGTGTTAAACCTGCAGGTGTACACCGGTGTCACAAAACTGAGGGTCCGTGTGACAGAAAATCCGCCCTCCATATAGTTAAATTGGCTAGGGTTAGTCTGAATTAAGTGGGTCAATATCTAGTATATTACATCATATTCCGATCCGCTTACAGGAGTATTAGTGCAGGATTTTTTTTTATCTTTAGTGCACTAAGTGACAATAAAGAGTTTAATGTAAAAACGGGATCGCCCCAAAGCACTGCATATTTATTTTCATAATATCGAGAAATACAATCCAAGATAATGTCTAGATATACAGCATAAAAGTAAACCAGTTTTTTTAATGTTGATTATTTGTAATATACATGATTCAAATATCCAATCATGTTTCTTCAACCTGAACAATGATACTTGACGCATTATAAAGATATCATTTGCCAAAGAAATTTAGCGGTAAATATTTTCCTCAGAAAGGTGTGTCTGAATAAAATATATCAATGTCCCGAGATTAGCCTAAGGTTAAGCATGTTTACACATCTCTCTCTCTCTCACACACACACACACACACATACTTACACACACACACACACACACACACACATAGGCACACACACAGTATCTCACACAAAATCTCTCTTACTCACACATACACGCAGGCACATGCAATCACTTTATTTCTAACACAGTCCCACACACTCTCCCACACACACACACACACACACACACACATGCACACATAGTATACACTTTCTCTCTCACACGCAGACACACTCCTTCTCTCTCTCTCTCCATCACACACACACACACACACAAACACACATACACACATACACACACACATACTCTCTCTCTCTCTTTTTCTCTCTCTCTCTCTCACTTAGAACACACGACACATGTCACCTCCCAGCCATTGACATAATTAGAGCAGGGTAGTGCACCACATACAGCTTCAACGGTGTAAAAATGGGCCCCGTTTACATAGGCCGAACTTCCTGGAATAGTCTCTGGAGCTTCATCTAAACAGACGAATTCTTGTCTATAGAAATTTGAATGTTGGGCAACCAAGTAGCCATGGTATTCTCGTGTCCACTCAGCGGGACACGTTTTCCAGGCCGGAATCATAACGTGGCTGGGGCGACCTTGGGTGTAGCAAACAGCACAAACTGCATCATGGTGGTAGAAAACTTTTCCTCCAGTATTTGTCTTCAGGAATGGGTCATTGCTGTAGGATCCCGTCTGATATTCAACTCCATACAAGAATGCAGAACCCTGAATACCGTTTTTGTGTTTGCCCCACTGTGGTACTTCAGGCACGCATAGGTAGTTGCTACCGCCACCTGTAGATACATAATAGCTGCCAGCTGAGAAGCCTGTAATAAAATATAAAAGTTAAGCATTATTGTTATATGTGGTCTTGTTACATATTGCTATTTGATCCGCGGTTCTGACAGTCTGTTTTCTTTCAATAGGAAATCTAAAATCCAGTTTAAATAAACAATTGTAAAATAAAGCTGGTTAATAGCTTAAATATAATTTGAAAGCAGCATTTTATTTCAAGGAGAACTATGAGGTACAAGTTATCAGCTTGAGGTTGGGCGCAATAAAATCACCAGTACTAACCTTTATAAAGAAGTTTGGAAAAGGCCCCGCAGGTGGTCCGCCCCCATCTTGTGTACACAGCTCCCCCTACTGTTGTGTTGGCCGGCAAACCTGTGGCAAAACGGTATTGTCAATGCATATGATATAAGGTTTCAAGAAATCCAATCATTTACTTATCCTGTAGGTGATATAAGGTTCAGACGAGAATGTCCAAATTCCTATCAATTAAATCATTAAAAATCTCACGATCAAAACTCACGACACAAAATCGTTTACCTAGATTTTTGATAAGTTCCTTGATTCTGGCATCTGTTACAGAAGCACCTGGGGGACCCTGTTAAAGATAACGGAACTGTCAGTGACGAGCACTCATGGTCTTTTATTGTTGTTTATAAAGTTATGAGACCCGATTTACCAATGACGTAACACATAAATCTGAGAAGGTAAACATAAAAAAAGTCTTAATTTAAAAATAAATAGGTTCTCGCTTTCAACAGTTACCTGTAGCCCGTCTTTTCCATTTTGGCCTGGAAAACCATCTCTTCCATCTTTCCCAGGTTTGCCATCTGCTCCAGGTTTGCCATCGGCCCCAGGTTTCCCATCTCTGCCTGCTTTTCCATCTTTACCATCTCTGCCCGGGAGTCCCCTGCATGCCACTGGGCTAATGAGAGCTGCAAAAATGAAATGACTATTTCTTGACAACAAAAGAAGGATAAAGATGGGTCCTTAGACTGACTTCTGATCGTCTTGATCTCTATTTAAGTTTTAATATAAAAAGTTAGTTTGTGGTTCAAACATGGATAAGGTTTGCAATGTGTGTATTTTCTTAAAATGCTTTTGAAAAAGAGCTGTAAAAAACAATATACAGGTACCCGATTCAAAGAATTCGGCGCCGGATAGGTATCCAACGTAACTGTTTTGAGGCTGCAGTAATATGCCCCTTACTTCCCGGCGAACTACAATGAACGATTACTGATGGCATGCATGAAATGACACGTTACTCACTACTGTGTGCCCCTGTACCAGATGCAATATTGCCATTGTCATCTTTCAGTGATGACGACCTTTTCGATGTCAAGTCGTCGTCAGAAGTGGGACTTACGGAACGTTGGAGTCTGTCAAGGGATGCCTAGAGTTAAATTAAGAATGGCAATAAAAAGTTTTTTAAAACACGTACTCAGTACGCGCTATGGGATTTTGACTTCAAAAATGATGATCTACAGGTATCCAAAACATTTTAATCTATCACAGCAACTTTCTAAAAGCATCACTATTCACGACATTAATTTTTTTTCGAAATAAGCACATTATAAGGCATTATACAAGTTTGCATTTGGCACATTGGTGGATTTTTTATGTCTATAGAAATTTGAATGTTGGGCAACCAAGTAGCCATGGTATTCTCGTGTCCACTCAGCGGGACACGTTTTCCAGGCCGGAATCATAACGTGGCTGGGGCGACCTTGGGTGTAGCAAACAGCACAAACTGCATCATGGTGGTAGAAAACTTTTCCTCCAGTATTTGTCTTCAGGAATGGGTCATTGCTGTAGGATCCCGTCTGATATTCAACTCCATACAAGAACGCAGAACCCTGAATACCGTTTTTGTGTTTGCCCCACTGTGGTACTTCAGGCACGCATAGGTAGTTGCTACCGCCACCTGTAGATACATAATAGCTGCCAGCTGAGAAGCCTGTAATAAAATATAAAAGTTAAGCATTATTGTTATATGTGGTCTTGTTACATATTGCTATTTGATCCGCGGTTCTGACAGTCTGTTTTCTTTCAATAGGAAATCTAAAATCCAGTTTAAATAAACAATTGTAAAATAAAGCTGGTTAATAGCTTAAATATAATTTGAAAGCAGCATTTTATTTCAAGGAGAACTATGAGGTACAAGTTATCAGCTTGAGGNGTGCAGTTTTATTAATATAGTATTTTAGTTCTCCACATATTTGTCAATACTTTTTAATGACAAATTTAGAAAATTAATTTTCCTAACAACATTATCCATTTAAAAAAGAATGTTCTTCACTCAACGTTCTTCAAATTCACATTTCACTTTCTAATCGTACCTTAAGTTCTTGGTTTTCTTTTTTTAGCAGACTGGTTTCTTTCTTCAGCAGATTTGCTTCTTTTCGGAAAGCTCTCTCTAAACGTAAAAATCTTTCCCCCAGTTTGTTGAGTTCGCTGTTTACCATTGTGCTGGAACCAGCAGCCAAAGCCCATGGTACCACCATCCACACAATGGCGGCCATCAAAACTGTCTTGGACATTGCACAGAGAGACATGGCTGGCAGCAAAATAATCTGTAGACTGGGGCCACCGCGAGCTTGCCTGTCCTTTATTGGCGTACGTGAATAACAAATGCCATGGTCGTGACTCCATGAAATGTGACGACTATGTAACTTAAATCCTATTATCTGAAATGGTTGGACTTGAATGGTGGCTTCTTCTGCCACTGCATGTGGGTTATTATTTATAGTCATCATTATTTGTGAGGTCAAATAAACGTTTTAAATCTTTAAGTTCTACTTAGTGAAGAAAGAAGAGGAGAGTGATGACACAATGCTGGGTACATGTTATAAATTTGAATAAATGGAATAAAATATTGGATATCTCCACCGTTATTTTGATTTTTCTGTACCATTAATCATGTTAGATATGGTATCTGGAATAAAAAGCACTGTACATAAGAATTTACACCTGTGAGGTGATCATTTATAAATAAAAACACATGGAATTGGAGGTGAGACAACCTTTCTATGGCTAGGGATGGAAGAATATTTTACATACAATTAATGTATCGGACTGTCTAGCAAGCGAGATTTCCAGTAACATGTGCATCCCCGGTTATTTAATTTATATATTTCGTCCTTTATTTTGCATAGGCCTAGCTTAGCACGACGTGGTCATTTTCTATCCTCCCCCCCCCCATTCTCTCTTTCACCTCCCTATCACCTTTGCAAAATCCTGAATTAATGAATTCTTCACCACCACCACCACCCCCCCCCCCCCGAAAAAAAAACACTTTGCAATTATGCCTTACCACATTCTTCCCCATACTACATGTACCTATTTTGAATTCCAACTCTTCAAACGCTTATAAAACCCACTGCGTCTATCCATTATGAGAATCGCTTTCATGTGACACACACGATACGCGAGTCATTTTTCTCCACGGAGTATCGGGTGCTAAAGAATTAGCTAATTGGGCGTTTTAGCTGATTAATTGGATTACGTATTGCAATCACTCAATTGGAAGTCCAGGCGCTGATCAGCACTTCCCTTGGGTGATGCGATAACGGACAAAGACAAAGATGGTGGACGTATTGCAATTGCTGGGGTTTTGAAGCCCCACTTCTCTGTCGTTATTATTATTATTATTATTATTATTATATAGACCTGTGCGCATTTAATAATATTAAATATTATATTTATTTTGAGTTTAAAGTCTTCTTCAGCAGACTTTACAATTCAACGTGAAAAAATAATAAAAAGGCAAGTAAAAATTATTAAAACAGGAAAACTGATTAAAACAAACAATGTAGAAATTAAAATGTTACTCGATCACTCACTTGACCCTCTGATATCAAGGCCAACCAAAACAAAATACAAAACCACACATTTGTAGCAGATTAACAGCGCACTGTGTTAAGAGAGTACTGCTCCTTCGGCTCTCGGAACTTGTGCGCTCGCGAAAGGGAGTATGCCAGAGATCACGCATAAATAGGAACAGCTCCTCATCAAATGCGACAAAACTATTAAGGCCGACAGCATGACAGGAGGAAACTGAACTGATAGGACGTGTGCAGGTTTATCGGCTATAGCGATTCAGTTTTATTGGCATTGTCCTTGAAAATCGTGGTTGCTGGATCTCTTCGGAGACTGGGACAAGCGTGACACATTCGTCCTCGCTTTTAACAATCAGGGCGCCGATTGAGTGAGATACATCAAATGATTTTCAAAATTCATCACGGCAGAGAATAGTGAAAGAGGCATCTATAAAAATAATTAAATAATTTGATTTCCAAAACGGACAAGACATTCAAAAGTATATGANGTACATGGAAATGGGGGTGGGACAACCTTTTTGACCAATGCTGTATAAACAGTATTTGATATCTATTAACGCCCTGCTCATAATGTGGATCGAATCATATCAATTTCATCAGTTAGATAAACCATAGTGTTTAATGACATTATATTTACCATATGCCAGAGAATATTATTGATCGATAGTATTCGGCAATGTTATTATTCCTATTTTCTAGGAATTGTGTACATTTATTATCAAGGACACAGGTTAATGGGCCTTAATGCACACAAATAGTGTAAGCAATTTCCCTGGATATTAAATATACATTATATAAAGGTCTGATTTCCATTGTGTGTCTTTATCGTGTGTCAGGTGAAATTTATATTTTGTGCAGAAATGGACTTCTTGTGATAAATACATCATTTACAATAACGTTTTCCTATTGAACGATTTCCAGGTATACCTGTCCACTAATGGCTTTGTCAATAAATTTAGCCTGAAATAAAAACTGACGGGATATCTGACAGTTATTTCTTCCGTGCATTCACCGTATTATGATATTCTACAAAATTGTCAGTAATGATGGCTTTGTCACAAAACACATAACTAATGTCGGGTAATCCTTTGAAATTTGAGACACTCATCGAATCAACCAAAATGTGTTTCCTGAATCAGTTTATGATTTTTGTTTCATCTGATGGCAAATCATTGTCATTTTCCAGACAAAATGCACTGGCGAATGGATGTTTTTTGCCAAGGTAGGGGGCACAATAAAAATTAGCCTGACTGCAATTAGCAAATAAAAAAAACTAGAGTATCAGAGCGGCGATACCGCCACTATGGATTTACATGTATCTCCAAATTTGGGGAAATAAGGGCTAAAAAATTTGCAAAGTGCATTCCATGGCAAAAAGTTAGTCAAATGTGCGAATTCCCTTATATCTCTATAAGTCCATTTATGCACTTAATACATTTAACCTGTGCAAATGGATATTTTCCAAATATTGTGCATTCCCGTGTTCTACAGATTATTTAATTTACATTATTCGTCCAATATTTTACATCAACCTAGCTCAGCACGCCAGTGTCATTTTCAACTGCCCCCTCATACTCTACCCCCTTTGCAAAATCCTGGATCAATGAATTCTTCGCAAAAAAAATCCAGTTTTCAATTATGCCTTACCACATTCTTCCCCATACTACATGTACCTATTCTGAATTCCAAAGCTTCAAACGCTTATAAAACCCACTGCGTCTATCCATTATGAGAATCGCTTTCATGTGACACACACGATACGCGAGTCATTTTTCTCCACGGAGTATCGGGTGCTAAAGAATTAGCTAATTGGGCGTTTTAGCTGATTAATTGGATTACGTATTGCAATCACTCAATTGGAAGTCCAGGCGCTGATCAGCACTTCCCTTGGGTGATGCGATAACGGACAAAGACAAAGATGGTGGACGTATTGCAATTGCTGGGGTTTTGAAGCCCCACTTCTCTGTCGTTATTATTATTATTATTATTATATAGACCTGTGCGCATTATTAAATATTAAATATTAAATATTATATTTATTTTGAGTTTAAAGTCTTCTTCAGCAGACTTTACAATTCAACGTGAAAAAATAATAAAAAGGCAAGTAAAAATTATTAAAACAGGAAAACTGATTAAAACAAACAATGTAGAAATTAAAATGTTACTTGATCACTCACTTGACCCTCTGATATCAAGGCCAACCAAAACCAAATACAAAATCACACATTTGTAGCAGATTAACAGCGCACTGTGTTAAGAGAGTACTGCTCCTTCGGCTCTCGGAACTTGTGCGCTCGCGAAAGGGAGTATGCCAGAGATCACGCATAAATAGGAACAGCTCCTCATCAAATGCGACAAAACTATTAAGGCCGACAGCATGACAGGAGGAAACTGAACTGATAGGACGTGTGCAGGTTTATCGGCTATAGCGATTCAGTTTTATTGGCATTGTCCTTGAAAATCGTGGTTGCTGGATCTTAGTAACATTAACAGCTGTGGTATCATCGTCATCATCAGAGGTTCTCTTCTCTTCGGAGACTGGGACAAGCGTGACACATTCGTCCTCGCTTTTAACAATCAGGGCGCCGATTGAGTGAGATACATCAAATGATTTTCAAAATTCATCACGGCAGAGAATAGTGAAAGAGGCATCTATAAAAATAATTAAACAATTTGATTTCCAAAACGGACAAGACATTCAAAAGTATTAGGAGTATCGTGAGGAACACCGGATCACTGTTTATCCAAAGGATTTATAAGGTAACTGGGAAGCTATAAATCATAAATTAGAAATAGTTATCTTAATGAAAACCCGTGTGACATGCAGACGAGAGATTTATATTACCCATAAATTATTAAGTGCATTAAAGGTGATAGCTGAAACGCGGGTAATGTTCAGCAAGGCCAATAAAAAACTGGATTTAGTAGAAGCTGTGGGAAAGCGCAAGACTTATTCAATTTAAGGAAAAGAAAACTTTGGTTACAAATAAAATCGGAAGGTAACCCTATAAAACAAAACGGCTGGTTAAAGCATGGACCCTTTCCGAAAGAAGGTACTATACGCACTGAGACTCGCAGAGGCGTAATTCATTCAGTAAGTACTACCAAACTCTCCGAATATCCCAGTTTTCAAAATGGCACAAGCAGAGGAAAGTAACATTTTCTAATACACCATACGACCGACGTTGTCCTTGCCAAGGCGAATTCTGAACGGTGTCTAGCTTACCGCTAGGAAAGAGCTTTATCATTCTGCCCACGGCCATTACTTTGTCAAGTTAATCTTAAAAAGCCCAAGGAGCTTGAAGGTCATCTGGTGATTAGGCCTATCGAAGTTTAATCCGACACGGCCATCTGCAAAACAAGATGTCCAATTGCTGTCCATTAGTCCCGTTTTCGAAGCGAGGCCAGGTCGGAGACCTTTACTCTTGTGAACTGGGTAAGAATGGCCACGCGAAGGAACAAATCGCCGAAGGCAATGGTAAGATTGACGTCATCAACCTTGACGATACACAATCTGAAAATGTTAACGTTATTGTTGAAACACGCCATGATACACATATACCCATGGACGTTGACAATTTTAAACTTTTTCTCGACAAATTTGATGAGAGCAGTCTATGTGACTACCACCCTCTCGTTGACGAGCGGCCATTTTGCGACTGGTACGACATTTTGGTAAGTGACGACGTTGAACTTATGGAGGCCATATTACAGGCAGTTTCATACGACCAAAGGACCCGATTGGTGAAAGACAGCTTCAAATTTGACACCACATACA